GAGGGAATGAGGAGGAAGGGGACGTGAGTGTGCGGTTATTATGTTGTTCGTCGCCTCTCTACATACTTGCTGGACCCATTGTTGTAAGGGTGGCATTGTTTGACCTTCTAAGTCGTACTCTATTCATTTGCCGATTCGGTATTGTCTGCCTATTGAGCACTACATGACATCGAGTCGTTAACGATGAATGAGAGAGTAGGCGCACCCGACGGTTACCCCATGAAACTCCAGAAGAGGGTCTTACGCAGGGGATTATACACCTGGAGGTCGATTTGAGAGAACTCAGTCCGATTCTATAAAATCTAAAAAATATAAGTGGCTTTATACATCATCTGAAGGCAGTTACCAAACTTCAGAAAGGATCTGGCGACTGCAAACCTTTCATAATGTGATGGAGGCTAAGTAGAATGGCTCCCACTTGTCTTTGTTATGCTGACTTTGTAGGTTTCTCTAAAAAAAGAGTGATAATTTGTAGGTTTCTCTGAAAGAAAAGTGGAATCACTTGTAGGTTTCTCTGGGAAAGAAGTGAATGAATTGTAGGTTTCTTTGAAAAATAATCGAATAACCATGGTACTTGTGATTCGGTCGAGGTGCGTAAGATCAAAAGGACGCAATTAACACCGGGGAGGGGGCGTCAACACAATACGTTTTACCGGTTAGACATGTCATGTATCTCATTAACCCGTCTTTTGACAGGCCAGTTGAGTTCCGGGTGCTACCTGCTTTTCATGAAATGCGAAGGCTTGTTTCGTAAAGGAATTGTCAACCTGCACCGAGTTCCTTCCGGCAACTTGCAATTCATTTAGGAAATTTTTTTTCATGCTAGGCAACGCGATAGCTCTGCTCCTTTAGCTCATTAATCGTTTTTCGCGGTCACACACTGTTTATACGCATCTAAGCTAAATGAAAAAAAAGAAGAACGGATAAACACGCTGTAGAAAATTGAACTCACTGGCGAAAAAATAGCTTTAATGTTTGGTATGCGGTACAATTTAGGAAGGCCGTTAGAGAACTTCCACCCGCAAAGTCTTCAGCGCATTCGTTAGTTACTGTGAGGTCGCAAAAGTGGGACAATCTTAGAGACTGAGAGAGGAACCAGACTACTTGAACAAGAAGGACGCCTACTATGAACTGGTTAAGATCCGATCGAACTGCCTTGGAACAGAACCCCTAACATCCCGCTCTCAACCCTCTCCCCTGCACTAAAATTCCCTAACATCTGAAAAGTTGAAAAGTACGGTGGAAACAGTGCATGTCGTAACAGGCGACGTTCTCGTTACTGACTTGTCACGAGGCATCAAGCGACAAAATGACATTTCTTAACGCGTCACTCTGGGATAAACGTATTGGGTCACCTATAATGGACCAGCGTCAACGCTACTTTTGAAAAAGTCGGATTCAGAAATCCCTTGTCCACTTCACCACAAATACTTCTCAAGGAAAGACATTCAAATCACCATTTAGCTTCTACGGCCTAGAAGCGTGAATCTATAGATTGCTATACAATCAATTGGAAAATCCATTCTTCTTATGAAGCGGTAAAGAGTGATTAGGGAGGCCAAAGTCCTTCCCTATCCTGGAAAGGAACTGTATGTTTAGTAAACGAGGAGAATGGAGCATTCGAAATTTCGCGTTGAATGACGTCCACGCCAACCAAACCCTCAATTCTCCTAGCAGAGGGTAGCCGGCGGTTGCGTGACATGTTGAACTTCTGTGCATGATCCTGTTACTAAACCTTGTGACGCAGACAGATAGAGGACAGCGGCTCCCAAAGCATCGAAATGTGCAAAAAACATGTGGGGAGACAAATATGGGGTTTTTCAAAGGGGAGGGGGAATCCGTTGTGGGTAGCTACTTACCATAAGTGAAAAGTTGGAATGTGTGATGTCAGACTGACCATACAATGGCTATACGGTTGAAAACCTTGTATAGCCCTATAGACTTGTATAGCCCCTAGCCCTAACCCGTGCAAATAATTTCGAAGACAAAATATACTCTAAATTTTGACCACGATTTTGAATGGGCAACGAAGGCGTAGCGCATCTCAGAAAGAACTGACCAACTTTGAGCTTTAAGCCTTTCTCTTTGATCTAATTTCTTCAGTAAGAAGTTCTAGAAAAAAGCTTCATAGTTCCTTGGATGAATAACAAATCTACTTCTTGATTATTTGGTGGGTCTGAATTCCCTGTCTGCTTTTGAGGAGGTTGATTTTTTGCTTCTGAAATCATACTGAACGGGAGCTCAGCAGAACGTTAAAGCGGTTTCATTTCGAACAAATGAACTCTAAACACAGACAATATCTGCCGTGGAAAATAGTATTCAGGCAAGAAGCGAATTCGTCGTCATCTGGACAATACCTATGCCCGAAAAGGGAAATATCGGTCCGTCTGAGAACCCCCGGAACTTCCATTTGTAATAATTAAAATGTTAACAAAAATGCTGACAGCGCTTACAGTATCGTTGGAAGAATGCCATCAGGGAGGTCGTACCTGGTCTCTAGAGAGGGTGGATCGCATTTGCCTATGAGAAAATTTTTCCGAGCCGCGAGAAAATTTTCCGATTGCTGACTTTCTTCGGTTTTCCGTATATAATCGCGTAATTGCTGGTGCCTAGGCATCTTACCAATCACCGCTACCGAAGATACGGCTGCATATGTGCACCCATATATCCATACAGCATCACGGGCTTCATACCAAACCCTTCGCTTTATATAAATTTGCTTAGCAAATGAATGAATACGAGCGTCAGGAACGGTCGTCCATTTGTGGGCGGGCGGGCGTAGGGGCGTTTGGGACGTAAAGTTGTGGTTTGATAGGGCTCTTATTAGGGTGCCTTCCTCGGCGTCCGAAACCGATGCAGCGGCCTGCCGAGGGCCTGCGGCATTCTAGCCTGCCGCAGTATTGATCCTAGTCGCCTAGGGGATTTACTCGTGCCAATTGCTTTAATCTCATCATCGAGTTACTCTATTGCAAGTTGGCCGTACCACTCGCGCGATAATGTGATCAAATCCGCTACTCACTCAAAAATGTACGGCTGCGAGTAAGCAGCCGAGGAAAAACATATTCCATCTCTAAATTCAAAATAATTCTGGCGATTGAGTGATCCATGAAATGCCTCCGTGCATCTGGCAGTTAGCTCCGCACTCGCAGAGAGGGCACCATTATATCACAAAACAAGGGGCAGTAAAGAAGTGCGATGAGTGATCTGCCACAATATTTATTGCCGCCCAAAGGGACACTTACACGCTAGATAGCGCCGCGTGTGTGTGTGAGCGTCAGAAGGCCGATCTCATGCTGCTGATGTTGGGCATGTTGGCTCTTGCGAGCTCTTAAAGTCGTTATCTGGATGTCTGTTTTGGAAGTAAGCAGTTGTTAGCAGTCTTAATCGCGCAGTTGTTAGCAGTCTTTATCGCAAGGAAAGATGCGTTTTGGCGCTGCTCAAACTAAACAGCAGTGCAACTGCGTTGGTGCAAAAGCTCGTCGTGCATTACTTACTGTAGTCCTGATTTTGTACAAGGAGTTCTCGCGAGCTATTTTTAGTTATGGCGCACCATCCTTCATACTCGATGGGAGAAATCATCTTCACCTGATACCTAATCCCTTAATCCCCTTGTTTGGTTTGCTTTTCAATCCTAACTTCCTATTGCGAGTCAGTAATCTTGGTGTAGTCCTGCGGTAGATAGAGAATTTCCTTGTATTTCGCCTTCTCTCAGGTCGTTCACTTTAGGGAAGAGGGAAACGAACGGCTATTCCCACCGTTGTCATGAAGGTAAATGAAGAATAGTGATAGGTTGAATGTTTGTCGAAAGGATTGTATATGAGCACGCGAAGGCAGCAATCGAGCCAGCGGTCGTGTAGGGTGACAACACCGGGAGAGAGATAGGGTGTTCACGTACAAAGGCATCGTCGCATCGTCGTTGCCCCGTATGTATGTCTATTTGTGTTGAGTGATGGATGAGGACGAGAGGGGAGAGTGCTGAGGAAGGTTCTAGAGAAATTGCCGACTAGCACCTCTCACCTTTCACAAGGCATTGTATCGTGCAGTTGAACAAATAGACCGACTGAAACCGATACAAAGAACTGTCGTCTTCTGGGGTCGCGTATCGTACGTCCGTCCTCCGACCACCCATCATCACAACTACGACGATGACGACGCAACCACTTGAGATGTTCTTCATTGACTGGTCTTGAGACGTTGTCCTTTGACACAGGGAATGGAGGTTCACGTTGGTCGAGGGGTTCGAGCTATTCATCATGATCATTGGACATTTTCT